TAATAATTTTGAAGTATGCATAAAATATTCCACACGGGACTATAATATATGATTTTATTAGAAAATGTCAAATTCATGTATAGTCTACGAAAATTTTCAATTTCTGAGTATGTATACGATATAGTATACTGTTGTGATTAGTTAAAACAACCAAAATCATGAGTTATAATCCATAGAAATTCCGGAATTTTATGCTACGCAAAATATTCTACACAGGACGACAACTTGTCATTTAGTCCGAAATGACTAAGATCATAGGTCGAAGTCCACAGAAATTTGGAAAATTTTGAAGGCGCATAAAAAATTTATGCAAAAACTTGTGATTTGGTCAAAACAATTGAAATCATAGGATTATAGTCCATAGAAATTCGGAAATTACATATAAATTTGAGTACGCATAAAAATCATAGGTTATATACAGAAATTCAAAAATATGAGAGTACGTATAAAGTATTCAATGCAGTATGACAATTTGTAATTTGGACGAAGTCAACCAAAATCATGGGTTACAGTCCATGGTTATTCAAAAAACAATCAAGATCATAGGTTATTCCACAAAATTCAGAAACTTTTGTGTACGCGTAAAATATTCCACCATAGAAGAAAATTAGTAATTTTATCGCAAACAATAAAAGCTGTGGATTATATTCTAGGGAAACTCGAGGAATTCGAAGTACATATAAAATGTTCTCCATTGGATGACAACTTGTGATTAGGTCGAAAAAAAATCATGGGTTACAAACCATGGTAATTCGTAAAAAACCAAAATCATGAGCTATAGTCCACAAAAACTTGTAAACTTTTGAGCACGCATAAACTATTCTATCCTGGATGAAATTTTAGAATTTTATAAAAAATGACCAAAACGATAGGTTACTATCTCGAGAACAAATTTAGTGATATGCATAAAATATTCTATGCATGAAGATAATTTATAATTTTTCTAAAAGATTCCAAAATCACGGGTTATAGTCCATGATTTTTCGGAAAACAACCAAAATCAATGGTTACTTTTCAAAACTTTGAAGTATGCATACAATATTCTATCTCAGATGAAAATGTATGATTTTGTCAAAAACAGAAAAAATCATGTATTATGGTCTAGAAAATTCTTGAATTGCAGACTACACATAAGATATTTTATACAGCATGATAACTTGAGATGTGGTCAAAAACAATAAAAATCACGGGTTCTAGTCCACAGGAATTTGGAAATTTTTAGAACACTAAAATAATTTATGCGGGGCGATAACTTGTGATTTGGTCGAAAACAACCAAAATCATAGGTTACAGTCCATAAAAATTTAGGAACTTTTAAGTACATGTAAAATATTCTATCTAGGACAAAATTCCGATATTTGGTTAAAAATGACCAAAATCATGGGTTATAATCTACATGAATTTGAGAATTTTGAAGAACCTATA